ATTTCCCGGCAGCGAGGAGAGCACCCGAACCCAGCGGCACCCCAAGTGGGAATGCCCAGTATGAAGGCATCCCCGCTCCGCTGCAGGCTTGGGGCTGAGTGGGGGAGCATGGAGAGCCCCTGAAATCTTGCAAATTCCCCGTACCCCCCAAAAAACCTAGAGACCGCTGATTGTAGCCTCAGGGGATGCCGGTTCCAGCTGGGCGATGCGCACGCAGAGGTTTATTACCGGACTTTACACCTGTTGAGAGGCCCCAGGAGGACTCAGCGGGGGGCCAGACCCGAAGGCTGGGGTTCAACCGGTACTCGGGACCCACGTTCTTTGGCTGCCCCATCTTCCACTGGGGCTGCGAGGCAGAAGCTGCGGGGCAGGAAGTGGAGCTGCCCCGCCGGGTCCAGAGGCATGGGGCAGCTCCGGGAGAGCGCGGTGCCTCCGGGGCCCGGGCAGCCGTCGGGGGCAAGGCTGGGCCGCTCCGCAGCGCCGCCTCGTGCCCAGCTCAGTTCCGAGCCCCTCTTGGAGCTGTAGCCCGACTTTCGGCCCGGCTCGGTGGCATTGGCACCGGCACCGGAGGGGCTTCCCGGCCTCCTCGGCTCGCACCGGCTACGGCCGCTCCATCCGGCCCGGCCCCGGCGGATTCGGAAACGAATAGAGCTCGGTGACGGTGACCTCGGGATGCCGAGCACTACTACGCGGTTCTGTCCCAGCAGCTGATGCCTGGCCGGCGGCTCCGCGCCCGAGATGCCCCCCCGGAGCCCGGGGCTTGCGGTTGCCCCTCACGGCTCAGTCACGCAGAAAGGCTGCCTAAAGTCTGTGTCCCCCGCAAGAGAGGGACAATAGAACCACCCTCCAGGTCACAGGTCACCTCCTCGCTGATTGAGATATTCCCCGCTTTCCCCAGCCATCCCCTCCGCTCCTCGGAGGGTTTCAAGGCGGTGATTTCCAGGGGGCGGCCGGGCCGGGATACCGAGGGCCCCTCTTCCTCCCGTCTCCGGGGCCTCGCCTCCTCTCATGGGCCCGGCCAGGGCTGTCCCTCCGTCCCGAGAGGGCCTTCCCGGGGTCGCTCGCAGGGGCTGCCGGCACCCTGCGGGGCCGCGACCCTCGACGTCCCCTGCCCCGAGCTTTGCCTCGGCCGCCCCGGGGGAAGGCAGAACCCATTCATCCCGCTGCCGCTTGATCTCGTTCTCGTGGTTTTCCCACTCGCTTCTGAACCCGACGCGTGGTTCCCTGCCGGCTGAGCAAGCAGCTGAGCTCACACTCATTTTCCCAAGGGGAACACCGCCACCATAGAGGCGAAAATCCCCGGGCAGGGAGCAAAAGCTCCGTGTTGGGATGCTCCCAGTGCCGGTGCCCGCGCCGTGCCCGGGGTTGCGGGACGGAGCGGCTGCCACCAGCACCTTTTCCCCACCGCTCCCGGCTCTCCGCCTGCCCCTGGCCGCCCTCTGATATCCTCTCCTCCTCCCTTTGCCGAAGTTCAGCCCCGTTTACTGCAGCCCCCGACTCTGAAGTTCAAATGTACACATGTGATTCCCCCTCCGCTGAGTGACAGCTACAACGGAAACGTCTCGTTCGCTCCTGGTTTGCATTTAATTACACTGGAGATGCAATATGTTTATGGCAGAAGAAAAACTACTTGTCTTTACGCTTGTTAGGGGCAGTGATTTGGCCACGATAAACTGCGTTTTAAAAGCTATTTAGGGCGTATGAAATATTCTTCTCCCTGCCCAGCTCCGGGGATTTTTATTGCCGTTTCCCCGCGTTCGTTTTGCCTTTTCCTCACACCCTCGGAGGAGGGAAACCCGTTCCCGAAGCTTTCCCTGCCCGCTGCAGGGCCCGGGGACTGCGGGGTTCCTTTTGTCGGAGCTCCCGCACTCTGCCCGGGGTCGGGGCAGCTCGGGGGTCCGGCAGCCCCGGGGGGAGCTCCGGTCTGGGGCACAGACGGGAGCGGAGGGACCCGCAACGCTTCCAGGGGTGTTTTGCATTTTGGTGGCTGTTCCATTCCCAAATCATCCCAAGCGGGGAAAATATGTGGGAGAAGGCGGGAAGAAAGGGGAAGGAAAAAAAAAAAAAAGGAAATTAAAAGAAAGTTAAAAAAAAAAAAAAAAAAGAAGAAGAAGAAAGTGGAGGAGAATGACACGACTATCTGATCCTGACGCGAAGCAGAGTGTCTTTCTCCGCCTTCCCCCCCGCGATGGGAGCAGGGCAGCCTGCAGCCCACTTCTCCGGGCGCTCTGTTTGCACGTCTGCAATTGAAATTTAGATTTAAAAGGGAGAAAGCTGCGATGTACCCCCGCCTCCGGGAAATAACCGCGAGGAGTTGCGATCGGCCAGAAATAGCGCTGGATAAAAATGCGAATAAAAAAGGGATTTACTGAGGTGCTACAATATAGGCTAAATTGTATAATATATATATATGTAATTATTATGAAAGAACGGAGGAAAAAAAAACCCAAAAAACAGAGGCCACACCGACAGTGCGCCGAAATAAAACGAGCAGGGTTTGTGCCATTTGTGCTCACCGACTGCCAAACGGCAGGTCGGAAGCAGAGGGATTTAGGGAGAGTCCGTACATCCGTGCGGCTCCTGCTCGGCATAACCCCCCTAACTCCCCAACCCCCCCCGAAGTTGGCGGAACAGAAATGGGAAACGTATAAAGCAGATTTCTGGGCTCATCCCGCGGCCCGATCCGCTGCGGTGCGGCTGCGGGAGCCGCTCATTGCAGAGCAGCCCAATGCTCTCCGAAAAGGCAGTCCTCCCCCAGCGCTGCGAGCGCTTCTTTCTGTCCTCCCCCCACCACACACACACACACACACGATGCTTTCCCCAAAGCCCCGCCACCAGCGGGCAATTTTTTTTTTTTTTCTAAGCAAAATAATAATCATAAAAATAAAATTAGAAAATGTTCTTGTTTTTTTTCTTTTTCTTTTTTTCTTTTTTTATTTTTTGAAGCCTCCTCGCCGCTGAGCTCCGCTCTCTGCCTCCCTCCACGCTGGAAGGTTCTCCTTGTCCCCCCGTTCCCAAACCCCCCCGTACCCGAGACAGCCGCAGTGTGGGGTGGCCCCGGCGCACCCCCTTAAGGGCCGACAATGGCACACGTGAGGCCGCCGCGCAAGGAGGGGTCAGTGGCCCTCGGTTACTCCAGGTCGGCGACTTCAGAGGTGCGTCCCTCCCCGGCGCTCAGCTGATGGGCTAATTGAATGATGCCCCTTTTCTCCCTCACTCCCCCTCCCCACCCCTTCTTCTTCTACTTCTTTTTTTTTTTTTTTTTTTTTTTTTTTTTGGAAGGGGGGGGTTGGTGGAAAACCCACCACGTGCGGAAGGTCGTTAATTACCCCCCGGACACGCAGGTAGAACCGCCGTCGCGTCCCGGGAGCCGCACACTGGGGCCGGGCATCCCCACTCCTTCCCGAGCATCCCTCCCCGGTCCCCGCAAGACGGAGCGCGGACGGCCCCGACGACCCCCGGGGGGGGTTTCCCCTTCTCCCTCCTCTCATAGCGTGCGAGCTCGGAATCAAGGCGGAGGGACTCACCGTGGCCTGGCAAGGGGAGCGTTACCGAGCACCGGTGGGACCTCTCGGGGAGATTTTATAGCGGTGGGGTTGTTTTTTTTTTTCCCCTTTTTTTTTTTTTTTTTTTTTACGCTCCCTGCAATCCCTTAAAATAAAGAAGGCGAAGGCTTTTCCCGGGGGCTGATTGGGGGGAACGATGTGAAAGGGCCGCGGTTATAAAGCGCTGCTTGAAGCGCTGCTCTCAATGCGCCTCTGAACTTGATCAGATTTTACGTTTCCTGCAGAGAGCCGGCGGCGAGCGGAGCTCTGTGCCATGCACAGCGCCGGGCTCCGTGCACCCCGCAGCCCCGCCGCCCTGCTTCTGTCTTTTATTTCCCCTCCTGCACCCCACAGCTCTTTGCAAATGCTTTTCCAGCACAGAAAATGAGGGGATTTATAGCGCTGTCTGCGATTGGTAATTATTTCGAGGCAGAAAGCTGCCTTTGCGAAAATAAAATTGAGGACAAAAAGAAAAAGAAAAAAAAAAAAGAAAGAAAACAAGAAAAAGAAAGGAAAACAACAAAATAATAAAACAAAGAAAAATAAAAGGGGAAAAGGAAAGAAAGAGAATGGCGGGGGGGGAGGGAATAAACGGCTGTACAGAAAATAGAGCGAGGAGTGAAGTGCTGCCCGCAAAGTTGGCCGCGGCCCGGCTGGCCGGAGCACTTTGTGCACCCTTCGCATTAATTTAAGCAAATTAATCATCATAATAATAACCGCCCCAAGGAAGCATAGCGCTGCTTCAGGCTCTGACGGTTTTTAGGTGCAGTTGTGAAACAACGCCGGATTTTCGCCTCCTCCCGAGCGCTGCCCTTTTCCTTACGGCGTGGTGCTCCGCGCTCTGCACGGGCACGGGGAGGGCACCGGGACGGCGCGGGGGTGCCGGCGGTACGGCGGTACGGGGGCCCGGGGCCGCCCGCGCGTCCCCCCGTCGCGTCCCCCCCGTCGCTCCCGCCCCCCTCCGCTGTACCTGCGGGCCGCTCCCGCCCAATCAGCGACCCCGACGGCGCGGGGCGCGTGCCAATCAAGCGGAGCGCGACCAATGGGACGCCGGTCGGAGGGTCACGTGACGCGGCGGCCCGCGGCTCCCCATTGGCGCGGTTCGGCCTGGCCCCGGAGTTGGTTTATGTGCGAGGCGCGGGCGGGCGCCCCGTCAGTGCCCGACGGCGCCGAGCGGGAGCGGGGCCGCGCTGCGCCTCGCCCTGCTGCGCGTCGCCGCCCTGCCCGGCCCGGCCCGGTGGGGGCGGGCGCCTCGCCTCCAGGGGCGGCGGGTGGGCTAGGGGCT